TATATACACACACACATACATATATATATATATATATATAACAAATTAAACTTCTTTTTGAAAAATATGAAACAATATCATCTTCTGTTTACTTATCATTTTTTTCATAGTATTGTCTATGGAAACTCTGGCTCTATTTCTTGCAGTAAGAAAGAAATTGGTATCGAAAAGGCCAAGGTTTCCTTTTTATTCCCTTGAAATATTCTAAAGAAAGGTCTTTTAAAATGTAAATATTTGGTTACTATTCTCATGCCAACAATAGGAATGATTCAGAAGATGCCTATCCACCCTCTGGAGAGGAGATAGATGATAAGCATGTGAGTGTCTAGTCTCAATGCCCCAAAGATTGAGGGAATTGGTGGGAACCTTAGAACTATCCAGTTAAATAGCCTCAGGTTACAAAAGAGGAATCTAAGTCTCTAGAAATGACTCATCTCAGGTCAACCCCCAAAAGTGGCAGACCTGGGAAAATAGAAAAATAACTGGTCCGATACTTGTTCTCTTTTGATCCTAACACAACCTATCATTAGCCTTCCAACTGTAGCAGCGAAAAATAAGCATCAGATAATATGGTTTACTCAGTAAATAATTGTGATAAGAATCCAGTTCTACCTAAATTGAACAATTCTACTTCCTTCTCAGAATTCAAAGGAAGATTCTCTATACTCAATTACAAATGTATTATTGTATAAGATCTATACAAGTATTGAAGAGTATATAATTATTATAAGGCAGTACAAAAAATATGATAAATGAATAAATGATACAGTAACACAAACCACTGAAAGCTAATGGAAAACATAGCTACCTTGGGGATGAATGCAGTTTGGAAAGGCCTCAGATATGGGCTAGGAGGAAGGACCATTTAGCCTTAGAGGGAGGGAGTGTGAGGATGGGTACAGTGGCAGATAGTATTTTTAAGGGACAGGTTACCATAGAACCTCTATAAATTGATAGGATGAGTGAGCTTAAGGACTTCTGTTTGCTCTCAGTGTGTCTTCATACTCTAGTGGGGGATGGATACCAGCCAAAGCAGGTGACAATCAATCAGCGGCAAGGACCATCTACTGTTTCCTAATAGAAGTTCCTTGTGCAAACAGAGGAGAGTGGGAGCCATGCCTGATCTTCCCTCCCCTTGTCTCTACACAGCAACCCCTATCAATTTTACCTCCAAAATATCGGTTTACTTTTCTCCTTCTTTTCTTTGCCATTCTAGACAGAGCCTTCAACAAGCCCTTAACTGCTCTAGTCTACTGGACTGCAATAGCTGTCTGAAGCTGGCCCTTGGCCACTCTATTCTGCACACAGTACACTCTCTACTCCCCACTGAGAAATGCATCTGAAGCACAATATTAGTACATGTCCTAGTCTCTACATCAATTTCCTCTTCTTTCAATTTCTTCTTTTTTTTTTTTTTTTTATCATGGGATCAAGTTCCAGTACCTCAACATGGTAAAAAGGATTACATGATTGCCTCCCTTTTTGTCCTTTGCATTTCATCTTGCCTGCTGTTGTCCTGGTTTCTGGACTACAGTCAACTGATCTTTCGTCAGATACTTAAATATGCCCCACACCTTCTGTACGAGGCCTTAGCAATTATTGCTCCTTCTGCTCAGAAAACACTTCTCTTCACTCTCCAATGAACTAATTCTGCTATTCTGTAAATCTCAGTTTCAATATCACCTTCTTAAGGAAGCCTTTTCTAACCCTCCAGATTGGGACAGGTTTTTGTTGTTGTTGTTGTTTATGACCCTGTGTATTGCTCCTTCATAGTAATCGTTGAAATAGGGGTTTCTCTCTGCTATTTGAAAGGAGGACCTCCTTGGGAAGAATGAATCAATGAAAAGGGTTTGCTTCCTCCACTGACACAAACTTGGATCTTATGTTTCAAACATCTGGCTGTCCTTAGGAAGCCACCAGACTTCATGAGTCAGATAGAAGACCATGTCAGCTCTTGTATATGTTACAAGAAGTATTTTACATAGATATGGGCAGTCTCTCTGAGATGATCTATAAACATATACTTAGGGTTTCAATGTTCTGTAGTTAAACCATAGAAATCAAATAGTTTTGTCTGAGAAAGTTAGGGAAGGAACTTCTGTGTTTTGAGGGGTACAGAGAAAATGTCATAAAAGATCCCACTGAAAGAAAATGGACACTGTTTGGGAGGCTCCAAGAAAGCTATCTTTATCTTTGGGCTAGCACTTCTGGGTACCTCACCTTTTGGGGAAGGTGGTGGATGTATGTGCATGAAAGCACAAGGCACTAAGAACTGGCACCTTATGGACAAAGAGAGGTCCCAGTTAGGGGTACCAGCAATGTGTGGCAGTTGTTGCTTTGGGGAGGCCTCACTAGAGTTTTGACCAGCAGCCTCAGTTAGACAGTGAGGGTCACTATTCAATCTGGACATGATGATGTTGTCAGGAGAAATGCATCAGACATCAAGGATTTATTATATTCAATATAGAGTGATCTTTGGTTTTGGACAGCAAAAGACCCTATAGGTCTTGCAAGATATATAGAGGAAAAAGGGACCTGTGGCAGTGATACTGACTTCCTTTCAAGCTTATCTACAGGGCCAGATGGGTTGATTTGTTTTGGAGGTTGGACCCCGTGTCATGGCACACTTTGTACCAATTACAGTCAAAGTGTACATTTAATGACGATAGAGTGCAAAGGACCAGAATTACATTTATATGTATAACATAAAAACCCCAGAGGACCAGAGAAACTGTCTAAAGACAGAGTACCTATCCTGATACATTTTAAAGTTACCCCGTTTCTAGTTGAACAAAGCGGTGATCACCACATGCAGCCTTAACCTTAACCAGTGAGAATCCATCAGGCACTTATTTGGAGTTCTCGCCACCAGAATCTAGCCAGGGAAACTAGAGTGTCCCATGCATGTCCTTCAAGGGATTTTCCCTTGCTTGTTTCACAACCACCTGAGGCCCATTAGACATTCAGTGGAATGGAGTGAGTCTTGTCAGATGTGAGTGAACTGATAAAATGCGGGGAGAATCTCAGTTCCTCTGGACCCCAAATTTCCAGGGATAAGACTTTTGTTAAATTACTTACCTTCTCTAAGACCAGTTTGTACATTCTTTAAGTATATGTGGTGTTATTGTGCAGAGTACATGAGATAGGTATGTCAGTGCTTAACCTCCTGCCAGGCACAGTGGGGCAGTATAAACTGTGGGCATTTTTTTGATAGATAGCAGGAGCTTTACCCTTTGACACATTAATTACCTTCTAGGGATCTAGCCCGAAGAGAAGAAAACTTCTAAGCAACTGGAACAGATGATTAATGCAAGAATATGCTCATAGCAGTGTGCTTGATGAGAGAATCATTAAGAATGCACTAGAAGTTTGTTTGAAGACTACTTGTTTTCAGAAATGCAAGCAACCATAAACAAACATGGCTGAGATCTAGGAAGGTTTTTCCAGGCTACGAGGTGTTTGGAGCTGAGCAATTAACCTTCTCTGGATCTCAGAGCTGTACTAGGTATCTAATCCTCCTACTTAGCCACTTCAATAGAGAGTTGAATTCAGGCAGCTGGTCAAGCAAGGGTGCTCTCCTTTTGGAAACTCTTGTCTATTTTGCATAAATGGCATGGGCTATGGGTTTATAAAAAGGCAGTTATTCAGTGGCCTGGAAGGAAATATTTACATGGAACTTGATGTGTCTATGACTATTTAGGTGAGAATAATGTGTTATGCTTACCTGAATAAGCTTGCTACATTCTTGTAGAAATCAGTTTGGAGTCTAAAAGTGATTAATGATAGCATATGGTTGGTTATGGGGTTTGAGATAAAAATTCCAAATGGCTTTAATAATATAACACCTATTTACAACTTACAGACACCCCAGGCTTTCTCTTCACTCATCTAAGAAAAATGACTCCAGAGCAAAGCTCAGTTGGCACATGTACATAGGTCTTTATTTTCCTGGAACTTTCTGTTATAGACGCTCACTCTAGTCATCTTCAGATACACTTGGACTAGTTTTTCCTCATTTATGGAAAAATAACCGTCTTCTTCTTCTTTCTGGTTCTAGTCTATGCATTCTTAATATTCCCCACCTCTAGTCCTCTCATCCACCCTTAAACCCCCTCTATTACTAAAAAAAAAAACCCAAAACCAAAAAACAAACAAACAAAAAAACGTTTAATGAATTAAAAACCTGTCCAATGCCACTTTACTGCTTCTAAGTTTGAATTATAACTTTAGCAAGCATAAAAGGGCTTTTAAACTCTGCCTCATGATCCCTGGCCTTGCCTGCCCAACTTAATGTTCAGAAATGACAAGTTCCCTGTAATTCCCCAGAGGTGTTATTTTGCTAATTTCTGCAAACCTTTGCACGCACCATGCCATTTGCTGAAAAGGCTAGCTGGGCACACTCATTTCTCTCCTTCCACACTTACTTCCAGGAAGGCATTGCCGCCCTTGTGAAATCTTTGCTTATATAGTTATTTCTTTTAGCACTTCCCTTGGAGCTAGTGTCTATCTGGCTTGTAGCACATTCCACATTGTAATAGATAGATAGATAGATAGATAGATAGATAGATAGATAGATAGATAGATAGATAGATAGATAGATAGACAGATAGATAGGTAGATAAATAGATAAATATCTTCAAAAGTTATCCCAGTGCTTGGTGCATAGTTGACTTAAACAGTACATATTTATTTGATGAATGAATGCAATTATTTTCATATCTGATTCCCTTAAAAATATTGATGTGTTCCATGCCACTCCCACCCCACACAGGTCTTTGATGGCCTTCTTTTCAGACAGCATTAGGATCCTTAACACAGGAATGGAAAATAATCTTGCCAGTATATCTGAACAAAGCTGACACATTTTTTCCTTTAAGATTTTGCAGTTGAATGTGGAATGATCCTGAAATTAAGGTCAGCTCCGGGTGGTTGTTTATATCAGCTGTCAGATTGCAGAATAAAAAATGGCTTTTATATGTTTGATTTTTATTGTTTTCCAGGGCAATGTCACTTTTTCCTGCTCCGAACCACAAATTGTTCCCATCACATTTGTCAACTCCAGCAGCAGTTATTTGCTGCTGCCTGGCACCCCCCAAATTGATGGGCTCTCAGTGGGTTTCCAGTTTCGAACATGGAACAAGGATGGTCTGCTTCTGTCCACAGAGCTGTCTGAGGGCTCGGGGACTCTGCTGCTGAGCCTAGAGGGCGGGACCCTGAGACTCCTGATTCAGAAAACGACAGAACGGACAGCTGAAATCCTCACAGGTACCTTGTCTCACAACCTCTAGGTCGGTTTCTAGTTCAACCAAGTCAATGAATGTTTGAGATTCGGACTAAAACATAATAGAATCCATCTCTCAGGGATGGCAGATGAATTTGGCAGTATTCACAAATTTACTCTCAATCTGAAAAGGCAAACAATTTAGCTATGTAAGCGTTGGCAAATTATTTAATTTCCTTGTCCCTTAGCAGTTTCATCTGAGCAGTGGGAATAAGAATTCCTGTCTAATACTATTGAGCATATTATAGACCATATACAGAGTACTTTGCTAGGTCTCTACAGACATGGCATATGTTATACGGAATCTTCACCTTGCTCATTCAAGGAAAGTATTATTTTCTATTTTGTAGGTGAAAAAATGAAGAGTCATGGAGGCTAAATCACATAGTAGTAAGTGGTGGAACTGCAGTTTCATCCAGAATTTGTCTGACTTCAGAGTCTATAGTTTCCCTGTATACAATACCACCATCAGACTTTTCACAGTCATCAAATTCTATTTCAAGTAAAAAAATTGGTTAGTCTTTAAAAATATTTTTAATTATATATATTTTAATATATTAAGTAAATATTACTACATATGACATCTGAGAATGGCAAAACTTAAAAAAAATGTCCTCAAATAACTGAGATTTGGAAAGCACTTACTTTATACCAATATAGTATAGATTCTAACATGTAGTGATATAAAACAGATCTGTGAAAAAGTTTTGTTCTTCAGTCTGGTTTTGCTGTTTCTTTGACACAGAATAATGGACCTTTCCATAGCCTTCTTCATTTGTATCATACTAATGTCTTACATCTTTCCAGGGGCAGTGTGTTGACTTAATTGACAAGTACTTACTGAGATCAGACCATGTGCCAACCATTAGATTGAAGCTAAGCCATTCCGCTGGGTCAACAAATCCTTTGATCAGCCTCTCTGAATGTAGTGTGAATCAAATGCCCCCCCCCCTCCTCTGTGCACCTTGAGCCAATATCCATCCTGGATTACACTACATTACATTTTTATTTAATATAAATGTCTTTCTTCCTCCACTGGGCTGTGAATTTTATTATTGAAATAAATTAAATAAAATTAAGTTAAATAGTAAAGAACATGACTTAATAGTCAAGATCAAGTTGACTATGTGAGAGCCTCATATAACAATAAGTGAAAAAAAAGGCTCATCGAACTCCTTCGAATAGCAGAAAAGACTAGGTCTGGGAGTCAGATAAACAAGTTCAAAAAGTACCTCTTCTTACTGTTCTGTCACCTGAATAAGCTTCTTAACTTTCATATATAAAAGAAAGTATATTAATTATTTATAGCTATGTAATGAATTACACCATTTTTTTTTTTACTTGTAACCATTTATGATGTCTCAGTTTCTAAGGGTAAGGAATCCAGAGACATCTTTGGCTGGGTGACTCTAGCTGGATACCATTATCTCAAGGTTCAACTGGGAGTAAGTGTGCTTCCAAGCTCACTCATGAGGCTCTTGGCACACCTCAAGAAGACTCACTTCCAAGCTTATTCCTATGGCCTCCTAGAAGGCTGCCTCATAAAATGACAGCACTTTTACCCCAGAGTGAGTGATCCACAGGGCACTGAGACAAAAAACACAGTCTCTGCCATATTCTATTCATTAAAAATAAGTCTAGCCCTTGCCTAAGCCAAGGGAATTATACAAGGATGTGACATTAGAAGCCTTCGATCATCAGGGACCATCTTAAAGTCTACCTATCATATGAGATAAAAATAAATTCTTACATCACAAGGCAGTAATGGGGATTAAATGAGATAATGCATCTAAAATCCTTAGCACAGTTTTGAGAAGCTATTTAGAACTTTTTCCTTCTGTATTGACTCAAGACCTATAGGTAGAAAAGGCCTCACTCCATAGAGTCATAAAAGCTGAGTGAATTCGTGCAGCCACAGGACTTCTATAAAATTTATAAGATTTCCTTTAATGGAGGTAAGTTAATAACTTAGAAACATAATATTTTTCATGTGCAGAGTTATAAAAGTTAAACTTCAATCCTCATTTAAAGAAGAAAAATGTAAGCTGACACTGGGCTATTTCTATGTAATCAGTGAAATGTTTGAGTACAGGGACTTGTAGGCCTCGGGTCAAAAATGCAGTTTTAATATAGTGCAAGCTCTGGTGGCACTTTGCTCTAAAGCATCTAGGTGCTGCCTATATTATTAAGCACATGTCAGCCCATTAAAATATGTTTATGAGGGAGAGAGTGGCTGGTAAAAGCTGCCATATTACTCAGCTACAGATGGAGGAAAAAGACATCAGTTATATCACACCTGTCTTTCAAAAAATAAAAAAAAATAAAATAAAGGAGTTTTTAAAAATGTGCTGAGTTCCTGAAATCTGTCTCAGAAGTCTCTTGCTTGGTTCCTTATTCGGTTTTGGAAAATTTTAACTTCTTTCATGTTTCTTTAAAATGGATCAAGCTTTTGTGTCTGCTGAGATTTTTTCTACCTGGTGGGGGGAGGAGAAAGACAGGAAAACAAACAAAAAATCAAACAAACAAAAACATTTTTCTCTCCCTTACATCGCTGAGGAAACTTGTTTCCCAAGTATCATATTGGTTTTATAACAGATGAAAAAAGAATCCGAAATAAACTAGAAAGTAATCACCATTGGACCAATAATTTTTGAGGAGGCGAACGTTGATCCATGGTACATCATGGAAAACAGAAAATAGCACCACATTTTATTAACAGGACAGAGAATCCAAATATTTCAAGATTTATTTCAGACTAGTTTAGGTTTTTCTAACTTACTAGGTCAAAAAAATGAAAAGATAGTCCCTGTAGACAGGCAAGACACCAATGCCTGGCTCATCCATTCTTGTTTCCAGAGCTTAGTGCAGTGTGCATAGCTTTTCAAACAAGGGATTATTTTGGGCTTCTTGCATTGGCGATCAGGGAGATAAGTGCAAACTAAATGCATCATCAAAATAGAAGGCATCGGACTTTAGTCGTCCTAGGTAATAAAGTTTCCGGAAGATGAAGGACAGCAGTATGATCCTTCCCTTTTATTTTTATTTTCTATTTTTGTTCTCATTTTTCTCGAAAGTCTTATATACGTAGCTATGAGGAAAAGTCGAAGGCACCATTTTGCTGGAAGTGATATGAGAGTAGAATCAACGTTGTGGAACTCCTGAGGGTCAACATTGAGCTAGGATCTGTCATAAAATACTGAAGAAAAAATAAAAACATAAAACTTATGAAGTGGCTATTATTTTGCCAAAATGAATAAAAGAAATTTGAGAATCAGAAATTAAGTTGAAAGGACTAGGATGATGTTCAACCTCAGTCCTCCCCTTTGAATTCCCAAGTTCATGATGTTTACATTGTATCTTGCTGCCACTTGCATTCATGCTTTTTTTTTTTAATTGTCAGTTGTTTACATAATTCAAATATAAATAAATTATGCTTTAGAAGAAAGATCTGCAGACAAATGTAAAGTAGGCTATTAAGAAAAATAAGCTATTTAGGATCTAAACTTGGGTTTTCCCAAAACATTTTACTTGGTGGTTCAGTTATTGGCAGATTCTTGAGGTAAGTAGGATCAACACAAGATGGTAAATCCATTGTCTTTACGGACTTGTGGTCTACTTTAGCTAAAGTTGTCTATGTAATATTACAAAGTAAATCATACATATCTATAGATCAACACACACACATGCACACAGACACACACACACGCCAACATTCTTTGAGTACATGTGACATCATACTTTTTTCAGACCTTTTTGAATGCTCGGTGCCTATTAGTAAGATTATCATCTAAGCTTTCAGGATACTAAATGACAGAAAGTACTGCTAATAGTCTATCTGCTTCTCAAGACTTTTCCCTGTGTTGCACAGCCTTTCCCATTCTGGTCACCCCTTTGCCAACACCACATGGAAATCTGGGGACTGCACAAGAGCAGGAGAATGCCTTTAAGGAATCCTGCGGCATGGTGAGCCTTGCCATTTCTTCTTTGAGGAATCAGAACAACCCTTAGGCAAATCTTCAACAAATGAACAAACGCGTTGTTTTCTTATTTTATGCATCACAAACCTCAATTATGTAGCACTTCTCCTGAGGTAGCATGAGTCACGGGGACCACTCTATCTCTCAAGTCCATATTTATTCATTGAACAACAGACAACATGCTCTATATTTTAATGAAGAAAACGGCTGCTGTTTTAAAGACTCTTAAAAAGGTAATTAGAATGGAGACTGCCATTGTTCAAACCAACCTGCATTTCTAAGAAAACAGGAAATTGTATAAAAGTAAAGGCAACCACCTGGTTCATTTCTTTGGAGAACGTTTTTAATTTTGTGTGAAACATTAAGTAACCTAAAGAAAAAGCTGGCACCATTATAATCATTTTGAAAGTGATCTGATATTTCAATGTTTGTTTGATTTTTCTGATGGGACAATACTGGGGAATGAGAAAAGGTGAAAGAGTTCTGGGAAGTTTAGTCATTAAAACTTGAAGTCTGATTTTTCTACTATAGCACTTCTCAAAAACTCAGCTCCTCACTGAAAAGCAAGTCTGGGCAAAGACTTGAACTCAGGCTTCAGGATTTAGGATTGCAGCCTAGCTATGGTCTGTATGGAGAATGTGAATAAGTTTTGTTCTATTAAACTGCATTTTCTTTTTTTTTTTGCTAAAAGAAAGAGTTGGTTTAGAATTGCTAAAGTCTCTTCTAGACATTTATATGAGTTCTTGAAGAAAAACAGTAGGCCAATCCAGTCGCTTATCATCTTCAAATAAATCATCAACTCAAGAGTTTTCTTTTGCGAATGAGGTAAATGGCCTTGACTAGGGGTCTTCAGGGCCATGCCCTCTGCCAGAGGTCATGTTTCTCAACTCCCAACATTGTGGTGCATTTTATGGAATAAGAAAGGTGGATTTGGCCTCTTTCAGATAATGAATTTTGTGAATGAGATGCTTGGATGTCCCAGAAGGATTATGTATATGACACTCAGT